CCCGCAGCCGAGGTGTGTGTCAAGATGATCTTTATATTGCTAGCATTGGGTAGTCACATGAAGTACTGTTTGTTTCTCCTTCTCTGGACATGAATGCCAGTTAGTTGGTGTATGACAGTGGCATGCTCTGTACAAACTTCTGCCACATGGATTGTGTGCACTGGACCTGATCTGAATATACAGGAGACTCCTTGTTATTTGAATCTCTGTACATTACTCCATCACATCTGATTCATGTACTGGATACCTTTTTTCTATGGCATTCTGCCTGCTGGGGTGCACTACTAGATTGTCCTTGAGATGATACCTGATACCTTCCCTCCTGCATAACAGGAGTCACCTCCAAAGGCTCAGGGTATGTCTTCTTCCCAATTCCCTATTTAATGCCCATATCCCTTGACAGAGATCCCAGTTGCTTGGCTCCACTACCATCTAATTTCATATCATGGGCCATGATACCCCAGCATTGGAGCAGCTGTATTACCAGGAGTTCATTTGACTGGCAGCTGAAATCTTCCTGCATATCTCACTACTCACTCAGGGACAGGGGTTGGGTAATTATCTTTGGCCCTTCCTCTTCCTGCTGTTGTGAGGGTTCTACTTTGTCTTCATCCCTCACTAACTGAACTGATTTGATCTTGGATTTCTTCTTATGTATAGGGCAACTTCTAGTGGCACAGATCCATCCTGTAGTTCAGCTGCTGTTTGAGTGGTCTCAGTGCCTGTTTGTTTTCCTTCTGTTCTCTGAGGGACTGTCTAGTATTGAACTATGTCTGGTAAAGAATGGCCAGTGCCCAACACACTGCAATGATTTCCTCCCCTCTGGAGATGTCACACCATCCATCCTCCTTGAAAATACACTGTTGCTTTATCAAGATTCTGTAGTTGTTCAGGGGTGAACTTCCAAACCGTTGGAGCAGAGAATTTCCCCCAAAACTGGCCCATTTTCTCTGACATTCCATGCCACTCATGATGATCCACTTGCAGAGCAGGCCTCCTTAGAAATCTCTCTCTGGATTCTAAACATGCTGTGGGCCACACTGACTCTAAACGTGGTACAGACTCTACTCAAGAGACACAGCAGCAAGACCATGCTTTTTTAACAACCAAGGGAAATCCAGAATTCTCAAAAGCTGGTTTAATAGGCCTGAAAGTGACAAAGGGCATAAAAAGCTGGAGAAAATTACCTGCCCCTGTTCCCCCACAGACTAGGTACAATTTAATGAACTCCTAGAGGTAGGCCCCAAAGAAAGGATAAAAGAGCATTACTGAGCACACATCCCAAATGACTCTCATTGCCCCCCCACATGCCATAAACTGGTCTCCCACAATACAGCAACACAAGAATCCTGATCCCTCTCTCTCCCTGCTATGAAAAGATACTGTGGTGGGCACACAGGGTGTATACAGGAATATATACAGGGTTGTGTGCCACAACCATGTGAACAGACCAAGCAACATTGTGGCTGTTGACTCCCTGCCCAGTACAAGAACTGCATAAATCAAATTTGTTTCAATCCCCTCTGGTCAGATCTGATTATCTCAACCCTTTGGGTGCCAAATAAAGCTATTGAGGTTTATGAGTGGTGTTCCCCATGCACTGTTCATTCACTCCTTCCTCCCTCTCCCCTGTGACAGACTAGAGAGGAGAATTGGAGGCACAAAATGAAAAGATTGCAGGTTGAGATAGGAAAAATTTACTGGAATCAGCAATAAGAAATGAACACTAACAGCAACAATATTAATAAAAGGGTGTACAAGAGAGACAATTCATGCTACACTGACTGGAAAAACTCCCTTACCCCTGCCCCTGGTAGTGAAGTGAGGTGGTATAGAATAACCCAACCCCTCTGGCTGCTCCAAAAATTAACCTTGTCCTGGCCAGAACCAACACAGCTACTTCATACCAACAAAAAATACTTTAATTTCTACCAATATTTTTACAAGTTTGTTTTGGGGAGTTTTTTTGGCAGACACAGGTTTAAAGCTTAAATTTCATTAATAATAAATTAATTTGTGAAATGCAGTGATGCTCTGACCAGTCATATTATTCTGCATCCTCTGTGATGTTAAGTAGCAGTTCTAATGTGATGTACATGTAGGTAGTCATAATCATAGAGATGTATTCTTTTATAACATTTAGTGGTTTGATTTTGAGTTGCTAAACATCTCAGAATATTGGAATGTTAGCAGTAGGTGTTATCCTTGCTTTGTATCCTTTCTCTAGTTTTGATAGGGTGATTGTACAAAAATACCTTTCACAGATACATTTTAACTTATACTTAAAATACCTGCGGTAATACAGCTTTGTGAAATAATGTCTCCATATTGTTTGAAAGCAATAACTTGACTGTATTGTGTTGATGCAATTCAGTGTGCATTTTTAGAGCTTAAAAACTCAAACTAAAGTAGTTTTACAGACCTCATGGAATTCTGTGGTTTGAGTGACATGTTTTGAGTTCTGTTATTCAAGTAGTAAGTGAATACCCAGGACTGGGTGGGTATAAGGTTTATTTTAACTGCATTGTTAGCTTGAGTTTGCCTTTGATTCAGTGTATTTTCTGTTCAAACTGCAGCATGGGTGAAAAGCACTTCCAGCTGTTTGGTATGGTGATGTGGTTTGAGGATCAGGTATTTGCTTACATGAATAAATAATACAGTAGTGAGTTGATTCTTTACTTAAAATAACTTAATATTTAACTGTGAAGAGAAGCCTAAATGCATTAAATATGTTTTAAAATTAGTGCTGGCAGTTGCAGTATTTTTTCATTTTGAAATAAAGGTGTTTTTGGGTTTTTAATGGTTGTTTTTCTGGTAAGGTTTTCAAAACTGTAGGTAGCAGGCTTGTACATGTAAGTACTAACGTGCTCCATTGTGCTTATTTCCCTTGCTTTTGTCTGCCAGTGTATCTTGATCTTATTTGGACTGTGACAGATCCAAGTTCAATTTCAACTTCACATGTTTTTGTTTAGTATGATTAGATTCTTGTTTGTTGGATATGTCTTGACCTGAAGTTGTCTTAATGTTTACTTTAAACGGTATAACATAGGGTGCAATATTTGATAACAAAAACTTTTACTAATGACTTAGTGTTTCATGGTAACTAATACCTAATCAGCTGTTCTAGTTCACATGTTACTGAAAACACTACAGAAGCTTTGTAACAGGTTATTCTTTTTTTCCCATCTTCAATCTTTGTAACCCCTTTGTCCCTTTTTAAGTTGTTCTTACCAAAGCTCCTGGCCAAATGACCATGTCCCTTCACAGATTCATTGCTACCAACCCTGAGGAGATTGTAACTAGATAGGGGCACATCTTTTTCAGAAGTTCGCCTGAAACTCCAAAATATGTCTCTGTGTCCTGGCTGTTGCATCCTTGCAGGCTTTCAAATTCTTTAGCAGGTTTTTTTTCTGGTTCAGATTTCTCAGCTACTTGTCTGGAAAAAGTTTTCTGGAGTATTTGTGACCTTTATAAGCTATTTATAGAATAACAGCATAGAAACAGAAATCCTCTTCCCAGTGAGATTAGAAATCTTAGTGAAAAGATTTACACATTGTTGCTTCTGTGATTCTTTGTTTGGTTTTTTTTTTAGGGTTCTTCTCCAAATTAGTCTTGGAAGTTGCAGTTAAGGTTATTGGAATACAAAAGCTGTTAGAAATTCTATGATATTTTATTCTTCAGTAGTAAAACAAACCAGACCATATCACCTCTTTACTAATAAAGTCAGCATCATCTTACTTTTACCATTTCTTCAAATAAAAAGACCAAGCACACCGTTAAAGTAAAAGAACTTCCTGGCCAGTTTTTCCCTACTTTTGGGAAAAAGTTCTAGACTTTTGCCTGAAATGTAGAACATGCAGGTTGGCCTTCTCTGCCCGGTTTGAGGTGGGTTTAAAATCTGGATCTTCATTACTGTGGGCAGACATCCTGCATAAGATCTTGGATCCATGGCTTTATGCTCTGCATCCAACTTCTTTGGTGCTATAGATGCATTAGTCTTGACTGAATTTGTGGGCAGGGTCTCTGAGGGTTTAATGAGGATGAGAGAAGGAGGAGCTCAGATTGAAATATGGTGATCCAAGTTTCTTAAAGGAAGGATATTTGAAGTGACTGAAGGTACACATATAGTAAGTTGAAATACTTCCATTGCAGAGGTTTATCACTGTATTGGAATGGAGGAGCAACTTTCTGTTGAGTGGAAGTCATATTTAAAATTAACTCATATTAATCAGAACAAATTGCCATATAGTATAATTGTATTTAAGTACTGTGTGTTTCTCTGGAGAAAAAGTGGTAACATTTCCTAAAATCATATTGATAAAATAAAGGATATCGGTCTTAATGCTTCAGAAGAAGCTGACAAGTTAAAAATTAATTATAGGCAGACACATTTTAGATATTTTTCCACTCTGCTGTGGGGATGTTAACAGCACTGTTTTACATTTCTAGTACAGCTCATTATCCTTTCTAAATCCTCAGCAATGTAGCTGGATTTTCTACAATACACTTATATTTGTGGCTTCTTGCACTGGTCTCTTCATAAATGAAGAGTGGCTTTATACCCTCCTGTCAAATTTGACACAGTAGCCTATATGCAAAATCCGTGGGTTATGAGGTTTTTGTTCATAGTATATTTTCCAAAGAAAGGTTGAGATCATAAGAAAAAGTGTAGAATATGAGTGTAGATGATCAGTAAGGAATTTTTGGCCCACATTTGCCGTAAAGGTTAAGGAAAAAAATGTCCTATTTTTAATACTGGCTGCTTTTCATCCAGTATCTTGAAGTGGAAAAGTTGCATTTGTGTGCGCATAATAAATATTAGGTTCAGTAGCATAAACTGTGTTAGAAATCAGCTGTCTTCAATTTTTGTTCTATTAATGTTGTGAGTTTTTTTCTTAAAATGGTAGTTAGGCATTTGATCTTCTGAATTTGAGTATTGTACTAGTGAGTTGTCAGGTTGTATTGGGGAAAATGAAAAATACTGTCTGTCTTCTGTTCAGAGTCTGCATCTGTGGACAAGTCTGTATCCCATTCTTGCACAACTCCTTCTACATCTTCTGCTTCTGGACTGAATCCAACTTCTGCGCCTGCTTCATCTGCTCCTACAGTTCCTGTTTCACCTATCCCACAATCACCAATTCCTCCATTACTTCAGGACCCAAATCTCCTTCGACAGCTGCTGCCTGCTCTGCAAGCCACCTTGCAGCTTAATAATTCTAGCGTAGATATATCCAAAATCAATGAAGGTAAGGATTCTTTAAAGTTCATGTAATCTCTCATTTACATACATTAGTGTATTATTGCATACCAGACTGTAGTAAATGAAAGCCTTATTTTAATTGAAAAGTGAATAAATGAATCCCTAGGTAAAGTGGAGTTTTTTGTGGCTTTTTTTTTCTGTTAAACCTTCTCAACATTTAAGGATTTCAAATTAATAAATGTTGATGTACATGAGCTGTGTAATTGAAACTGGTGACTTAATCACTATATCAGCATTTGTCTGTTGCGCAAAATTTCGTTAGAGCTCTTTGTTCTTTTGTTTCGTGCACTGTTCTTTGTTTTCTGTAGTTTGTGCTGCTGTTCCATTAATGTGTGTTGCATATAGTGAAACTTCTAGGGGTTCTTAAATCTTGTTGCCTAACAACTTTTTTCTTTAGCGTAACAAAGAAAGCCTCTCTGAATAAAGGTAGCGTATCAGTAACTTTGCTAGCCAGTGAAATTTTGTACATTTAATCAGTGTGTCCCTTATATTTTTGTTACATTGGCTTAGGTTGTTAGAAGTCAGTTTATCACTTACCTGTAGTGCCTTTTGCTGCAAGAGCGGGTAGAGTTGATGCATTTTGAATGCAGTTTTTTCTAATGTGTCTGCATGTGACAGGTTACTGATAAAGTGATGTAGGAGTTTTGTTTGCTTCTTGTGCAAGAATCACTGATTTAAATAGGAAGTAAAATATTTGCATGGAGTGCTGAGAGTTAATTGTCTTTAACTTTCTGAAAGTGCAAATCAAGTAAGGGAAAATGCTTAGAAAGTATTCTATACCTTGCAATTATTCATCAGAAAAAGTGGTCAGTTGCTTCCTTTTAATCAGCAAATATTCTGTCTTCATTCAGTACTAATAAGTGAGTAGGTCACTGGTTTCTTTTTCCTGTGCAGGGAAAGTCTTTAAAACTGTAATCCACTAGGTTGGACTAAAAAAAGACTAAAAAAACCACTAAAAAGTGTTATGACTGTGTTGAAAAATGAAAGGTCCGCTCAACTCCAGTTGTATTTTATTAAAAAGCTGCCCGGTGAAATTTCTAGTAATTTTCTCTTGCCATATGAGCAGCAGCTGTGTATGTCTTGGAACAAGAGTGTTCAGAATTGTTCTGATGACATGAGGGCCTGGCTGTGTCCACGTGGGCAGAGTGACTTCACCTTGCACAGCAGGGCTGCTCTTACTGTGCACACAATCCAGAGTTACTCTGTGCTTTGCTGGTGAGTCAGTTTTTGCAGGAGTGTGCTGGAAGGTATGTCCAGGAAGTATGCCACAGAGCCTGTAGACCTTTTTGGAAAGGTTAGTTCAGAAGCTCAGAGTTCAGGGTTTTGTTATCTCATACTGCAAGATGCTCTTCCTGTATTGTGCAGTTTTAAAATGGTTTGAAGTGATTATTTTTTTTACTGGTGAGGGGATGACATGGGACAGCTAAACCCAGAAGAGATAAGGGTTTTTTATTAGTAAGAAGAAACATGGATTTTTAACCTGAAAGAGATATGTCTTCCTCTTGAACATGAAGTCTGGGCCACATCTCTTTCAATGAGTTGAAGTGATTCTGCTTTTCGCTTTTCTAAAAAATTATTGTAGTATAAAAAAACCTTCACACATGTTCTGCTTACTACAGTAGCAAATTAAATAAATTTTCTCTTGCTGTTTACAAGAATTATTACTAATCCATACGATCAACTGGAAGACTTGACATTATTTTTTTAAAGAATTTTTGTCAAATGTGTGTCTTAAAACTACTAAAGAAAGGACTTGCTAGACATTCCAAGTCAACTTGAAATCAAGTAACTGAAGAACAGTTCAGGTGGATCTTTGGTCATGGTAGATACGGGAAATAAATCTGAAGGAAAACATACCTTAAATGTAATTAGCCAGTTTCAACAGTTTAAAGTGGTGTTCTGGAATTGTCAGTAAAACAGAATGTTTGTTTTCAGTTCTAACAGCAGCTGTGACACAAGCCTCTCTGCAGTCTATACTCCATAAAATTCTTACTGCTGGACCATCTGCTTTCAATATCACCTCCCTAATTTCTCAAGCTGCACAACTGTCTACGCAAGGTATTCAGAGTTTTTTTTTTTTTTTACTTACGTAAATTTGTTACACAACATTTTAAAAAGGCTGATACAGTTGTGGAATCTGTCTCATGTCATATCTTCGGCCACACAATGTGGAGAATGTGAAATGACTTCTTTTTCCAAAGATAGGATAAAAAATTGTTATTGAGGGGCAGGAACCTGACACACTACTAAGTAAACATGCTTCTCTGTCTCACCTTTTGGGATTTTCTTTGTATGTTAAGAAATTCTACAGGAGTAATGTGAAACTTCTGGAATTAGATGTTACTTAACAGTATAAAAGACAACTCTTCCTTACTTCAACACCCATCTTGTAATACTGTGCAACTGTTGACTCTTGGGGGAGGCTTTAAATTCTTAGTTTCCTCTGTCTGGTGGGGACTTTTTTTTTCATCTTCCAGGCAAGATACTCTTTCAGGTATTTCCAATATGTTCTGGCTTGTAACTTAATAAAAAAATTTTAAAACTTAAGTTTAGAAACTTAAACCAAAACAATAAATGCAGTCATCTTACTGAGTAGGTAAGCAGTGCTAATGGTGATTTTTAACTATGGGTGGGGAGCTGTTGGTATATGCCTAGAATGGATTCATAGGTTTCTATATAAACTGTTCATGCCTTCTTTTGGTTAAATCAAATTGAACACTCTTAAAATAGGAGTCGCATATGATTTAGTCTCTGAATCTGTAAAAAGCATTTCCTAATAGCTTCTTCTCTTTCCCCTCCCCTGAAATTTTAGAAGTGGGGAGTTTGGGGGACGTAACAGTCCCTTAGCTAGGATTGTTGTTGAGCATTAAATAGTTCTAGTTGTTCACAGTGAGTATGTTTGTATATCATCTAATACAGCATACTCCAGAGTACCCAAAGAAAATCTAATTTGCATTTATGATAGGACATGGTTTTATTAAAAGCATTTTTCTTTTCTTTACAGCTCAGCCATCTAATCAGTCTCCAATGTCTTTAACATCTGATGCCTCATCACCAAGATCATACGTGTCTCCAAGGATAAGCACGCCACAGACTAACACTGTTCCACTGAAACCTTTGATGACTACGCCACCAGTATCATCCCAGCAGAAGGTGAGCTCCTTTTGGCTTGTGCCATATTGTAGTAAGAAATCATTATACATAATAATAAATATTTTTCCTATATATCCATGTGCTAACAGTTGTGTGTAGGATAATAAAATATGTATATCTTTCCCAATAGAAACAAACAACTGGAAGCAACTACTTGACTGTATTTTGGCAGTGCAGCTCCAGCATGAAATCTAGTTTACTTCTCTTGCGGAAATTCTTAATGCTGGCCTCAGATGCTGTCTGGAGATTTTACCAAGGCATTGGTATTCTAGCATATTTAAATAGCAACAAAAGCATACCTCAATGGCAACAACTGATGCAATTATTTAGACTTACCCAATAAAAGATGTCTAGAAGGGAAATTTACTTGAAGTAGTAATACTTCTTGGGGAAATTTACTTGAAGTAGTCTCAGATTTTGTTTAGAAATGTTCCAGGTGTTTACAGGTCAATAATAGAATGTCCCTTTCCCTTCCTGCCCCCTCACCTCTGTTCATTCAGAATTCCTTCACTGGATCAGTGTCTAGGAAATGTAAATTGAAGCTAACATACAAGCTCCTGATGTTCTTTCTGAGAAACCCCCACCTTCCTAAAATCTGTCTTCTCTATCACCACTTCTGCTTAGCTGAGGTGTCTTTTTCTCAGTTTTCTGCTCACAAGTGAACCTCTAGTGTCTTGGATGCCTTTGAGGAATACTTTTCAGGAGAACACATTGCATTCCTCATTATATTCAAAATGCCTTATTTTCTTTCATCAGATTTTTTCCATGGGTACAAATAAAACCAAGTGATTCTCCCAGTTTCTTTTGATTGACAGTGATACAATGAATTGCAAAGCTTCATGTGTGTACCAGTACTGGTTGTTACCTTGGTTTCTGACCCTGGATTGCATCCTCAATCTATGTTCACATCCCATAGCTAGGTGGCAGGAAATGAAATTATCAAATACCAAGGTTGAGATATTTGGTACTTCCAAATCCTGAGATTTGAGAAAGAATCTTAAGTTGTGTACTGTCAATAACTGGAAGTAGATCTCTTCTGGTCTCTACAACCCAGAGATTGATTGTTAGTCCCAGAAGTAACAAATTTTTTTTCTGCAGCAGATACTTTGCCAGTTTGATAAAAAAAGAACTGTCTTGATAGTTTTTCTATTTGTGTAACTCAGTTCCATGAGATGGGAGCTTAGGTGGTGATAGCTCTGGTGTGAGCACGTCTGCTTTAGCAGCCCATCGGGTGTGTGAGTCAGGCTAGCTTGTCCAGTTGTACAGTTTGAGGTGAATTATGCCTAATCAAGATGTGGGGCTGTGCCAGGACACACTTGGTTTTAGAGCACATGGGCTTAGAGCAGACAAAGCTGAAGTGGCTCTGTGCAAGAAGAGCCCAGTGCCAGAGGCACAGGGATTTGAGCTGGCTGTGGGACTACAGTAGTGCCATTGGCACAGTACCATTGCTTAGGACTGCTTGAATGTGTCAGCACTGATTTCAGACTGAAGCTGCTGTGGCTGCCTTTGGGGTGCTGTGTGCATGTGGCAGCTCAGGGGGCACAGACTTTACCTTTTAGCTGTGCCTGTATTGTGTGGTCATAAGCTGTTCTGAATTTCTGCAAAGTAGTTGTGTAAAGCACTTTACACAGACTGGTCAAGCTCAGTGAGAATGTTGCTTTTGGTTGGTTGGTTTTTCTGTTTTTTTGAATTTATTTAGCCCTTACTATTTTTCTGTTTCTGGTATATATATTTACAGTCTTTGAAACACTTGGAGAACATGGAGTAATTGAAAGGTTTTGTGGTTCATTTATTTTACAAATCCCACTTTTTCTTTATGGTCCTTTTTTTTTTTTTGGGTTATTTTTACCAGACTAGGAGCTGGTTACTTTACCAGTTTGGATCTGCTGCATGATTCCTTTATTGCTGATGAGCTTCTCTTTTGAAATTGTTCTGTTTGAACAGCCTTGGTGATTTAATGTCTGCTCACACACTGAGCAAAATGCAGGCATTAATAGCAAAGTTCTTCATGTCATACATTTCATAAAGGTACTTGTGTAGTCTGTTCTCATAAATCAGTTTACGATCTGCTACTGTTTGACCCTCCTGAACTATATAGTTCTGTTTATTTCAACAGCAGATTGATCTTACAATTATCTTGCTTTTCCCTTTTAGTACCATGGACTTATCATGTGCTACTCAGACTTCTTTAGTATATGCCTATTAATCTAAAAACCAGAAAGAACACATGTTCATTTTGATGATAAGTTTAAAGGTGACTTTTCCCCTTAGACATTTAAGAGTTTGAATGGGCATTAAGACAGCTCCCTCCCCCCCCCCCCCCCCCCCCCCCGAATATTTAAATGAATCAAGTTGTGTCTTCAGTTTATTTTACCATCTGTGCTTTGTTTCATAGAAGTCATAGTTTCTGAAGTAGAGCATTTCTGGAGGTTCAGGAGACCCTAGTTAGTAATCTACACTAATGTGAAGTCAGCAAATGCCAGAGAGGCGAGGCTGGACAATTTGGTTTTTTTGTCTTTATGGATCCCTAGAAACCATTTTTTCTTTGCTCTCTCCCTTTTCTCTCAATATTGTTAGCTTGATTTTGTGGAGGATAGATTTTGAAGCTCAACCTCTCTTGTATGTATTTCAAAATTGGTATGCAAAGTATTGGGCGAGATTAAATATCTTGGACTTCATTTGCTGTAAATTAGACATTACTAGATTCCCAAACTTCTCGTCCTGATGTAGTTGAGAAATTCATAGAAAAGACTGTATCTTACTGCTGGTATCTTAATACCTTGCATTGAATATGTACTGCAAAGGAAAAGCAAGAAAGTACTGATGACTATTTTTGTAGTCACCTGTGAGTTTAGAATTTAGAGAAGAGGGAACAGCAAACTGATAAATATGCTTTAGATTTTTTTTTCCATTTTTGATAAAGATGTTTTTAATATGCTTGTGATGTAATTATGTTCTTGACACTGTGTAATGTATTTTCAAGTAGGGAACTCTTAAATTTGTACAGGAAGATGTTATTTGGGTGATGAACAACTCTTCTGAGGTTGAAAATGAGCTCAGTGCTCAGATGGAAGATACAGTCAAAGATAACAAGCTTGCAATATTTCGACAAGTCACATGGGTCTAAATTTGCTTCTGTTAAGTCTATTAATAACCCCTTCTTAGTACAAAAAAAAATCTTTCTGCACAGCTGTGGAACTAGAATTTTTTTTTTTTAACTAACACCTTGTGAAGATAATAAAAATTGTGTCAGCAAAAGGCCTTGTAGCAAACAAACCCTACAGGTGTTGAAACTGTAATTTCCTTATCTTTTTCTGTTTCTTACACTTGCTCTTTACTGTGGAGGAATTCTAATGAAGTTTTGAACTTTCCAGGTTGCTACTCCAGGTGTTAAACAAGGACCAGCTTCCCAGGCAGCACCTCAGCAGCCAGTAATAGCTGACAAGCAGGCAGGTCATGAACCTGCCTCTCCACGAAGTCTTCAGCGTTCAAGGTATATTGAAATGCTTCTCTTCTGTCATTAGATTTTATCTGCATTCAGTGTGTGTTGTATATGTTGCAGTTAGTGGACTCTCTTTGGCCACTTTATTGAACTGCTGCTACTGAGATGATGCAGCTAAGTACCTTTGTTACATATTGAATGTGGTGGATTCTCCATTTTTGGGGTAGTCATTAGACCATTCTCACAGAAGCGACATGGTTGTGTTCTGTCATTCTGGTGTCAGTTTTATAAGTGATTCCTTGGATTGTGATTTCAGAGTTTTGAAGTTTCTGTCTCTGTGCAGTTAGAGAATCTGTGATGCTTAGTGTTAGATGTTTGTAGTGTCTTGCTGTAGTGTAATTTAATTCTGAAATTAGCATGATATTTTGGTTTGTCTGGTGATATTGCACTCTAATGAAAAACATTAAAATTAAGTAAGTTTCACAAATACCTTTCATTGGCCAGACTTTTTTGTCAACATTGCAACTTATTAAGATGTTGCATGATACCAACATTTAACCTCTGATTTACAAGGTGGGTTTAGAATCTGTATCTTTGAAACCTTTCTTTTGGGTAAATGGAGTCTTCATAGTGTTGGATGCTCCACATTTTGTCATATTGGTTCCAGGGGCTGTAACCAAAGATGTGTCATGAGTCATGTCAAATGTGTGATGGAGTCATGGTATAGAACTGTGGTAGGAAGAAGTTGACTTTTTTAGAGGTTCTGTAAATCTACACTTCTTAATAGCTGGATTTTTAGTGATTGAATAAGGTGTGTGGTGTGGTATGGTATTAAATGCAAAAACAAAAAGCCAAAGCCCAATACTCTTGCATTGTCAGCATCCCTGAAGCTACACATGGTGCTGCTTTCCAGATCATAAAAGAGTGAGATCCTTTTATCTGCCCTTCTGGGACTAATAACAAAAGGGACTTTTGGGTTTTTTTTTTTTTTTTTTTTTTTTTTTTTTTTTTTTTTTTTTTTTTTTGTTTTTTTTGGTTTTTTGGGTTTTTTTTGGTTTTTTTTGTTTGTTTGTTTTTTTTGTTTGTTTGGTTTTTTTTTGTGGTTTTTGTTTTTTGGGGTGTTTTTTTTGGGGGGGGGAGGTTTTTTTGTTGGTATTGGCTGTTTTTGTGGGGAGAAGAGATGTATGTTTTGAAGGTTTTTGGGGGACTGGGTTATCTGTTGTATGCTTGGCAGTCCTGTCCCAGAATCTGGCTTTATTGGAGACCCTGGAGTATTGACCAGTTTGAGGGTACAGACTCAAGAAAGTCAGAAATTTTGAGTTTTTAATGAAGGCTATTTTACAGACACTTGATTCTAAGCTTTGTTGGATTATAAGCCTGTAGCTCATTTATCTCTTTTAGAAGAATAAAGGCAAAGTGTCCAGCTCCAGTCCCTAGTAATTATGAATGGTGCTATTTAAATCTTTCTGAATTATAGTACCAAAGATAAAGTTACACTTTGCAGCAAGCTGAGCTTCTTTTATGAGGAGTGGTGAGGTTTTGGGGGATAGCTCTCAGTCACAGGCCCTTTTATTCTTTGCTTGTCACCCTCTTGGCACAGGAAGTCTTCTTAAGAAAGATGGTCTTATTCTTGGAAACCTTTACCATGGCTTAGAGTCTGTGTGAGTTGATACTGGTGGGCATTTGGCCTGCTAGTCCATGCCTCACCCTTCCTTTGGGTTACATGACTTTGTACTCCAGCATGACCCTTACCTACAGTGAGTTTAGGGATCTGCTGTCCTTCTGCAAACCATTACTCCATTTGGCATCAGTGTTTTGCTGGAGGAAGCTGAGTTTGCCCCAGCCCTGCTGAAGCAGGGGCATTGTGCAGGTAGCACACTCCATGGCTGAGGGCAGGAGGCAGTGTGCAGGCCAGGGTGAAAGAAACTGAGACAGTGTTAGTATTGTTCAGTGTCCCGTGTCTCTGAAATTAATACATGTTTGTGACTCTGCTGTATTGTGCATCCTGAGTTCATGTGATTTCAGTTTGCTTTGGAAGTGTCTCGTTTGCAACAAGTGGAAAATTAAGGAATAGGTGACTTGGAAAAACCTGTGTGACTGGTATTTTCTTCTGTTGAGTGCAGTGGAGTTGAATGAAAGTGGACCAGTTCAGATATTGATTTACTTACCTGCAAAAGATTTGCTGTGTCCAGGCAGTATGTCTGAATTGATATGGAACAGATGATTCCTTTATAAGTGAAAGTACTTGGTTGGATTGGGAGTGGTTCTTGGGAGCAATTTTTACTTTTATAGGAGTGAACAACAATTTAGAAAACTGAACTGTGGACAGATGGTCCAAAATCTTTTTAGCTCTGTGAATTAAGGTTGCATTTTTCTCCAGCTTAAATACTGATTAATTGAGCAGAAGTTCATCACAGCTGCATTTCCTTGGCTCATTAAAAGTTTTAAGTAAATGGAGGTAAAATTATTTTTGACTTGCTGGGGTGGAAACACAGTGTGAGAAAACCTGAGTAGCTATTGTGAACTTTGAAAAAGTGAACATTTCAGCCATTTCAGTTGGGAAATTAACACAATGCAGGCATACGGTGAGTCTGTCTGTTAGAGATGATTCCAAAGACACACAATCGATTATGGCTGCTTTAAATATGAAACTAAATTAGTGCTTCCATAACTAATAGTTTCATCAGGTTGGTAGTTTCTCTCTGTTTTCAGAAAGGACTGAGAAAAATTTTCCTTTACCTTGGGAAAGTGCTGTGAAGGGAGATATTTCATTACATTTTTTGTAGGTTGTAAAATTCTGACGTTTGTAGTAGTATATTTCAGAACCATCATGTTTTAATACCCTTGATTCAGATATTTTTGCCTCTCTGGAGGCATTCTGTTACTTGTGGCATAGTCAGTCTTTAACTCAGCTAAGGCAAGTATTTCCCTTCAGTGAAGCATTTAAAAATACTGTGGTAGTTTGGAACAGTCATTGCTGCATTCATAGCTCCCCCTGCTGCTAACACAGCAGTGCCTAGGATATATTGTGACAGTGTGCTTTAGTCATAATTAAGGTACAGCTTCATTTTTGAGAAGCCCGCAGATTTTATTTATTTATTTTCTTGAAACTGGTGTTTCTGATGTATTTGAGTTTTACTAATGAAGCAGGAGTGGGAGAAGACAGGCTGATAAATGAAGAGGAGGCAAGTCATAGAGGGAAATTTAATTCTAGTAGAACTAAGGAGTAAATAAGGTTGTGCCTGAATTCTACTTAATTAATAAAAATAGCCTGTCTCTGCACCATCACTATGCTGATGCTAAATTAGAATAATTTACTTTGGAACAGAATTCTAGCTGCAGTCTACTTTGGTCCCAACTTGGAGTAGGACTGGCAAGTTTGAATTGCTTAGGTGACTTTTTTTTAATATCTCAGAATATCTTCTTCTGATGTTTGACTGCCCTTATGGTGATTCTTTTTTTTCTCATGTCTAATTAGAATGTCCCTTGTTGCAGCTTGTCTCTGCCTCTTGTGCTGTCACTGTGCATCTCTGAAAAGAGTCTTTTCTCCCCAAAAGGAGTAAAAATCTGCAAAAAGATCCCTCAATCCCCTTCCCCTCAGTCTTCTGGTTTCCAGACTGAATAAACTTTAAGCTTCTTCTGATACAGCATGTACTTCAGCCCCTTAGTCACCTGTGTGGTCCTGTGCCACATTCCTTTGCTATAGCAGTTTAATTCTTGTCTGGTTTTAGGCTTCCCACTATACAGTGCTCCAGATACTGTGAATCTGAAAAGAAGGGAGGAGTTGCCTTTTTTATAGGAGAAGTGCTTCATGCCTCTTGTCGGCTTGGTGACTCTCTGGCTTTGTTCCAGAAGGTCCAGTCAGACATCCAGTTTGTTGGCTGTAATTCTTAATGCTGTAGTTCTTTGAAAGTTTGAGTTGAATAGGGTAAATGTCTGGGCATTGGACTAGAGAGATAGTTGCATTATGTAAGGATGTTTTCAGTCTTCAAAGGGACCGACAGGTTTGGTGATGAATCAAAAGTCCTTTAAAATTTGGTTCTCCTTCATAATACTTTCTTCTTGCCTGCAAGTGATACACAGTTTTAAGAAATAGACTGAAATTATGGCCTGTGTTGAAAAGTTTCTGCCAGTGGGAGAAGCACTAACACAATTAGTGCTACTATTTCTCAGTACGTGTAGTGCCAAAGAACATTTAACTGTGAGGTACCATCACTTTTATGCTGAGTACGTTCCAGTAAAGCAGTCAGGTTTGGTGGCTGCAAACACACTGCTCCTGTGATACTTCTGTTCTCCCGAGTGCATTCAGTAAAGATGTGCAATGTCACAAAACCGTGTAGATTGTGTTTGACATGAGTACTAAACTCCTCAAATCGCATATGGCTATATTTTCAGATCAGGATATCAGGCATTGTTCTTAATGATTATTCTGGCAAACCTCTTTTGAATAAATGTGTTTGCCTCCCATCTGATACATCATTACTGAAAATCTTATGTTTGCAGCTGTTTGAAGGAAGAACATAAATATTCAGAACATAAATATTTTCTATCCGGCACCATTTAGGCACAGCTTACCTCTCTTGAATAGCTCTCAGAGTTAAAAACCAGACATCACAAAACCCGACCAAATAACAGAATCCTCTGTTACATTGTAGCACTCAGTTCCAATTAAATTTAGAGGTTTGTAGAAAGGTGGCCCAGGTTTGGTCTACCAGGAGTATTTACTTGTGGTTTGAACGCTTTATGTATTTTTGTGCCTGGAAGCATGAATTTTCAGTGTTCATTTCTCTCTAGGTTCACATATGTTTTTAAATGCTCACTTGTTTTTTGTTATTCTTTCTTCTAGTAGTCAAAGAAGTCCATCACCAGGTCCAAATCATACCTCTAGCAGTAGTGCATCAAACTCAACACCTGCACCACAGAATACATCTGTACGACCCACATGTTCATTAACACCTACGCTAGCAGCACACTTCAATGAGAACCTTATAAAGCATGTTCAGGGCTGGCCTGCAGATCATGCAGAAAAGCAGGTGAGTGCTCCTTTGCTTTGTTACCTGGGAGAGGGCATAATATGTAGCTTAAAATTTGGGTTGCTTTTTCTAGGAATTAAAAGTATTAAAACCCTTATTCTTGTCCTCAGCCAGGAGAGAGGAAAGGGAGATTAGGCCAGACCTGCAGGTTTTATGTGTGTTTGCCTTTCAGTAGTTGGGTATTTTCAGTCTCACTTGAAGTGTCTACTTGAAGTGTCTACTATCTTACTTGAAGTGTCAGTGCTTTTGAAATTCCCTCAGATGAATAGCTGTCCTTATAACTATTTTCTTACTGCTAAAGTTCTGTTGAAATTTACAGAGAACATAGAGTTCTACATATTTTTTCATAATGATATTTTGATTATGTGGAAAATGTTATAAATTAGGTGCAGAGTTAAACTATTTGAGAATACTCCATGATTTTAGTTACTGACATGTTAGTTCTACACAGTGTAAAAGAAACTCTACCTTGTTTGTGAATTTATGTGGATACTCAGACTGAATTTGGGCTATTTTTACATAATGGGAAATCCAGTCAAACTGCCATCCATATATTATAGCTAATTGCCTGAAACCTGTTCTGTTGTAGTAATACAAGGAAACTGGATGCATGTCAGCTGCTTGGAATGTATTACTCAAAGGAACCATATTGGTTATTGAATCTAGTTAAGTTATTTCCGCAGGCAGCCATATCTGATGCAGTCTATTTGGGGTAATAATCTTACCTAGCCCAGTTTACTTTGGTCTTTTAAAGACTTGATGCATGCTGGCACAATTCTACACTGGAGACTTTTGGGTAGTAACTTGCAAGATGACTCTCACAAGCACAGTCTAAACTGAGACCCTGTTAGGATTCCTGCTTCTTTTCACTGATTTGTTAAAGTTGGTTTTAAGAAACTACCAACCTGTACTGAGTCAAACACTGAGGCATTGCTGTGGAGTGTCTTGAAGGAAATGGTGTAGCATAGGCACTTACCTATGGCCTTGGTGTGTAGCTTTGAAAGTATTATTTTCACAGTGTACTGAATTCACAAGTATCTTAATATAGAAAGCAGATGTATGCAGTGCATAGGTTTTGGGGTCTTTTTCCCTTGTTGGTAATAAAGAGATCAAAAAACTCAGCTAATGCTAGGCAGTCAAGTACTCAGTTGGGTACTTCTCCCTTTGTGCTACATGCTGTATTGTCCTGTCTGCTATTTCAGGTGATTTCATGTGGTGGTGTTGTTTATAGACCAGTTTTGAATAGTAGCACTTGAGGCACTTAAGTGAGATATTTGATATAAAAGTGAATGAAAGTATAGGTGCAGTACATAGTGAAGAAGATAAGATAGATCAAAGTGGAGAGACTAAAATCCAGTGTCTTGGTTTCTTCAGATAGCTGCCAGATATATAGTGTAATTTGAACTGAAGGCAGAAGAGCACATGCCTGAGTAAACTGAAAAATAAATAAGTAAATAAATTAGAAAAGTCAGGACGGGTATGTGCTAAAGTAGTTGGACTTGAAGAAATGTGGTGTGCAAGTAGTTAATAGCTAAAACATTCTTGAATTACAGCAATTACCTCACAGAACTCATAAAAAGCACTTAACATGGCAAACTGAAAAACAATTCAGTAACTGGAGTTACTGCATGGGCAGTTATATCCTACTAGACACCAGGGTACTCCTGGATGTTAATCAACTCCAGAAATGAAAACTTTTAATGTAGGGAATTAGAATACAAAATGCTGCTTTGAACTGGAGAAATGCCAAAAGTTGATGAAGACCTGTGCTAAATAACATTATTTTTGGGAAGGAGAATTAAATGTACAAGTACCTAATCAGATGTGGATGAATCCCAGTAGGCAGCTAAGCACCACACAGCTACTTGCTCACTCTGCCCCAGTTGGATAGGGGAGACAATTAGGCAGAAGTGAGAAAACTTGGGAGTTGAGGTAAAAGCAGGTCAAAGAGTAAAAGAGGGTGGGGGAAAGGGATGCAGAAGCAGTCACTACCAGCCAGCCAGTGCACTGCCAGTTCCTGAGCCATGGCAGCCCTAGAACACTGTCCCCCAGTTTTACTGCTGAGCATGGCACATGTATGGTGTGGAATATCCCTGAGGTCATTTCAGGTCAGCTGTCCCAGTTTTGTTCCCTCCCTGCCTGTTGTCCACCCACAATGTATTTGCTGGGTGGAGAGCAGGTCAGAGAGAGAAAGGGAGAAACCCTTGATGCTGTGTAGGATCTACTTAGAAATAGCTAAAGCTTTACTATGCTGTCAGCACTGGCTTGATCACAGCTTCAAAACATGGCACCACGTGGCACCATTTTCTTCTCTCTGAAGAGAATTAATTCCATCCCAGCCAGACCCAGTGTAGCAGAGGATAACATTGCTAAACAGTAATGCTGCAGGGAAGGCTGTATTTTGAAACAATTTCTCCATGTGCCACTTGAAAGAAGTCCTGTTCCCTATTGCAGTGTAATACACAGGGCCTGAGATCATTATACTGGTCTCCCTGGTGCTGTTGAGGAGTTCTCTGGAGTCATATCCAGTACAGTGATGACACTTCAAGAAATGCTCAAATTGGGAATTGGATAGGTTGTGCTTTTTATATTTACACTTCTGCTTATCTCCAGCTGACTAAGTGGGAATATTAAAGTAATGGAGTTGATCTGTTAGAGAGCACCTGAAGAGGGTTGCAAAGTTTTTTTCTGTTAGGTAGAAGGTAGCTGGAAAGATGATGGCATTCAGTTATTTTTGTCACTAAGGCTTAACTAGATGGGAAATTTAAGTCTACCATTGGAATAATGGTTTGAGACTTTGAAACTGTTTGAAAAGGTTATTTTAGAAGCTCCAAGTCCTGTCACATATTGTCTTTCAAGATGGCTGGGTAAACATTTAGGATCAAGAAGGTCTAAACTAGCCCTGCCTTGGCATAGGCGTAGATTAGACAGTTTCTGGGCAGCAATGTTGTTTATTTGTGATTCAAAATGGGCTCTTGTAGACAACTTATAAGTGCTTCTGATTTAATACTGCCTTTTGAAATTAGAGTGCTTTGCTGTTTCAAGAGACACTGATCCAGCAATTCTCTGGCTACTGCCAGTTGTTTCCAATGCATGATTCAAAATCCTAATCTTTGTTTAACCCCTGCAGGCATCAAGATTACGTGAGGAAGCCCATAACATGGGAAGTGTGCATATGTCAGAAATTTGTACTGAATTAAAGAATTTAAGGTCTTTAGTTCGAGTATGTGAAATTCAAGCAACTTTGCGTGAGCAAAGGTAAGTGTGTGCTCTGTGCTTATCTTCAGTTTTTAGGGTGTTATTAGAACTTCATTCTTGCATTATTTTGCATGAGTTCTGTTTACTGATGGCTGTAAGTACACCAATACTTGCCATGTTTGCAAGCTGTCTTCCCTGTGTACATTCTGCCTGTTTCTGTCCACTAAGCAGAACCAGATATGCAATTCCTGTATCTGTTTTAACTGAGATAGAAAAGAAATCTCTGCAGAAACCTTAGTGCATTACAAAGAACTGATGAACTCACAGTATTTCAGCATGCTTCTAGAGTATCAGCCCATACATAATGCATAGATTGCATAGGTACGTGTCTGCACAGTTTATCCTGATCTGAAGCACTACAGTTCATATGAGAAATTCAATAGATCTAAAGCCAGAGCAAGTTTGAACAGGTTTAATTTACATCACAAGTGAAGGAGAAATTAATGTTTGGTTATAGCAAAGTAGATGTGCTGTAAGTCAGTGATAGCAGGTGTCTTGTGTATCACTTCAGTGATAGGCTGAATACTTTTGTGCAAGATTAGAAACTGTAATCATAAAATACATGCTCAAAATATTCACCAGTGGTCCTGATTTTGTATCTGCTTTCATACTCGGTTTCCTCTTTCAGTGATATTATCCCAACTATCAAATCACACTACAGCTTGAATACAGTGCTTCTTACTGTTAGAAGCCACCTTAATTGTGTTGCATGCTGCTAAAATAGCTGCATTTATTCTAGAAGCTCTTGCATTTTGGCAGATAGTGAAACAATCCTTTAGAATCAGGCTATAATATATTTGTAAGCCTTTCCTGATAAAGAACTGAAAACACCCATTTTTTCTGAAGCTTTATTTCATAACTTCACTACATGAATTATAACTTCTGTAGTATATTTAATGAATGGCTTGGTTTCTTACAGTTTTAATTTCCTAAGGTGTCATTTGTCTCTGCGCATTTGATCTGAAATAACATGTCAAATGTCGTTGTTCAGCTCATTAAATAGCACCTTCTTTCTTGTACACTTTGTATCCTAAAACTGTCAATGGATAATTATTATTATGACTTTGAGCCTGTAGTAACATGTATCTTTTATTTTTGCTGCAATCCCAAAGATGTGGAATACAAGGCATAAGTAACCAAGTTGATGGGGGAGGCTTTGACAAAGGATGGGATTATCAAAATCAATACATTTAAATGATGATACTATTTCTGTACTTCTGCACAGAAGAGTGCTACTTAAATGTCTTCCAAGAAGGAACTTCATCTCTAGATAAAGCACATACATTGTTTGAATCATAACTGACAGCATGTGTAAAAAGTCACTTTTCATTGATTGATATATTTTATATGCCCATGCCTTGAAGCTGAATGTTCTCTTTTTGGTGTCTCTATATTAATATATTCTTTTCCACCTACTTTTCAGTAGAAAATTCATTTTTAATGAAGTGGGCACATATTTGTAAAGTGTTCCAAAAAAGTGCTGAATTGTTCCTTTTTCTGCATTTATTAAAGTTGCTTCAGCCTTCATAGAATATTTATATAAAACCTAAATTCTCCCTGAGTATTTTCTTATTTCACTGACATGTTTGCATTACACTTCAGCATCATGAAAAGTGGTTCAAATTGTTCATTAAAAATTCCTGTGAACCAGATGTTTGTTAGTCATGGTAATTGCTTATGTCACTTCAGAAAAAGAGGAAAAAAGGTATAAGAAGTTGTGAGCAGTATAATTTATTTTTAAGCAAGGTGTAGTTACAACTTTTTATCTTAGATGCCCTTTAATGATGCTTCAAATGTTTTTGAAATTGGAAAATTGGAGCTTACCATAAGTAGAGACTACCATTAGCCACAGAGCCAAATACTTTAAAAAAAGCAAGTGAGAAGAAGACTCACCTTTTTTTTTTTTTTTTAAGAGCACTTTAGGTTGTTTCACAATCTGGAAAACTGCATGATAAAGGCATAATGCTGTTCTCCAGATTATTCAGTTACTTGGCTTACTTGCCAGTGTCCTGTTTTTTCTGGGAGCTACATTCAAGTGAAGAGCTGACCTAAACACAACTATGTATCAGTCATAATAAAAATGCAGCAACTTAGTTTTTTGAACTAAAGTGTCAAACACACCAAGCCTTTGTGCATCTGCACATGGCTGTAGGTTATTGAACAGATTGGGAATTGATACCTGAGTCTTTTAATGGGGCTAAGGAAGTTGGTATCTTTTACTGAAATTGCAGAAGCACTTGTGTAGATGCTTATTTAATACATCTGTATAGTGGAAATGTTTATACTAATTAATTTCTTTTCTCTTGCAGGATACTATTTTTGAGGCAACAAATTAAAGAACTTGAAAAGCTAAAGAATCAGAATTCCTTCATGGTGTGAAAAATTGTAAACAATTGCACATGGTTTTGAGTACAGGAACTATTAAACTGATGCCCAGTCTTAACACTTTTGAGCTGCATTTGAGTAGACTTTGGACCGTTGAGCTGGGCAGAAAAAAAAGTTGACATGGGGAAGGGGACAGGAGGGAGTCAAATTCAGGGGAAAGATACAAGAATGATTTGTAAAACCCTTGAAATGTAGATTTCTTGTAGATGTATTCTTCACGTTGTAAATATATTTTGTAGAGTGAAGCCATGGGAAGCCATGTGTATCAGAGCTTAGACATCCAAAACTAATCAATGCTGAGGTGGCTAAATACCTAGCCTCTTACATGTAAACCTGTCTGCAAAATTAGCTTTCTTTTTTTTTTTTTTCCTTTCTTTTTTTTCTTTTTTTTTTCTTTTTTTTTTCTTTTTTTTTTTTTTTTTAGTTAATTTATCATTCAGAAATTTTTCCTAAAATTCAATGCAAGCGCCAGGCGATTTGTGTCTAAGGCTGCAACAGTTTGGGCAATGTACAAAATACCACGAAACAACTGTTTCCACACTTGCACCGAGTCGAGAGCAGTGCTTCTCCATTTCTGTTTTACAGAGAAATGTTTTTCATCTTCTGTGTTCCATTTCCCCGTGAAATCCTAAATCTGATTTTATCAGCTTTTTAATGCTTCTAATTTTCTCTTTTCTTAAGGCACTGTTGCTATGGCACTTTTTCTATAATCTTTTCATTCCTGTGTACAGTAGCTTAAAATTGCAGTGATTGAGCATAACCCACTTGTTTGTATAAATTATTGAAACGTATTTCCATTTGCACCCTGTAAGAATGGACTTAGAGTACTGCTGGGCATGTGTGCTGAAAGTACATTACTTGCTCAAATATAAGGAAATAGCCCAATGAACATGTTAACATGGTTGTGGGAGGGGAAAGAGGAAAAAAAAAGCTAGTCAGATGTGAATTGTATCTGTTGTAATAAACATGTTAAAGCAAAGAAACACTGGTTTTCATTTCCTTTGGTCAACACATTAAAATTTGGTCTTTTTGGGGATTCTTTATTAGAACTGTTCTTGTTGAACATTTTTGTACTTAAATAATTCCTCAAGGGAGGTTTTGTTTAAAACTTGTAAACAGGAAAATATGTATAAAATATTTAAGGAAATATAAAATTCAACAAGGATGATTTAAGACACCTCCCCAACAGTTGTCATATGTTAACTCCTGGTTTACCTGTCTTGATATTATGACATTTCATTTCGAAGGATGTTTGTGTTGTAGCTAACTGTTTAAGTCTGGTGCTGACTGCTGTTCTTAACCATCACAAAACGCTGAATTTGTGTAATTGGAGCAACTCACCGTTTGAAAATGGTGGAAAAGCTCAGCTTTGTATATTGTTTCCTAAAGTATATTAAAAATAAAAAAGAAACTATTGCTACTACAAAATAAACGTGGCTTTTTCTTTGCTTAAAAACGACAGAAACGTGATGGCAGTACTAGTTTAATATTTGTAGAGGGTATATGTCACAGCAGTCTGTTAAGGAGGAAATGGAGATGGTAGGAGATGGATTAAAAAAAGAAAGAAAAAATAATTTAATGATACAGATGTTGACATGTGAACATGTGATACTTTGTGTTTTGTTCCTAAAAAATAATCTCAGCACCAGAAATGGTACTCGATTTTTGTGTTGAGTGAGCTTGGACTGATTTTTAAAATCAGGTTTTCATCAGTAGAAGCTGAATGCTCTGATTTAACAAAACATTGCAAATGGAGCAAGTTTAAATACCTAACTAACAACAACAATGGGAAGTTGGGACAGATGAACTTGTAGTTTCCTCCCTTTGTAACCCAGTATGTTCTGTTGTGTTCAAACATGCAAAAGTTTGATTATTCAAATCAAACATGCAAATGTTGGATTTTTCTCAGAAGATGGGAGTAATTTCGAATGAATTGGAACATACATTGTTTCTGCGTTTTTAGAGACCCAAGGCTGAGTGACAGAATTCTTCCTGAGACTTTCATATTTGCCTTGCATCCTGTTTTTGAAAGTTGCTCAAGTGTAGGGCAATAGCGTGTGAATTGCATGGGGTTATGCAAGGGATCTCTCACCAGTGGCTGTCCTTAGTTTAGATATTTTGCTGTTTGGTTACTTCCTGAGACAGAGGTGGTTCCTGTCTTAATAGATATGCTGGGTCTATTTTCCATGAGCTTATTTTGTTTCCTTTTGCTTATTATATTGCCCTCTACAGCATCCTGTATCAATGAGCCTCAGAAGTTAATTTTAGTTTTAGAAAATTACTTTGGATAATTTTTTTAAACCTCTGTTTTGAATTAATTTTCTTATGTTTAACTACTGCCTGTTGATCTTGCAGTTTTGCAGAAGAGCATCCTTTCCAGCCTAAAAGATGCTAATCTGTTTATCACTTGAAAACTTCCATAAAGTGTGAATGGTCACAGATAATTTGGGAGTCACAAGGATGAATGTACCACTTTAACCCTCTCAAACCACCTGCATAAATACCCATCACACAGAGACATGCTCTCTCTTCAGGTGATGCCCTCCCTAACTCTGCAATAAAGGTGGCTGCTTTGTCACCATCTGGTGACATGTCCACACCTAGTTGGGTTCTGTATTTACTCCCCATGCAATAGCTTTCCTCCCTATCCCCCACACCCTTCCAGCACCTGGAGCTGTTGTTAGCTGAGGAGGGACAGCCTGCCAGACTTTGGCTAGTAGTAGACAAGTTAGGAAAGAGGATTGGATTGCAGGCACTGCTTTGAAGTCAGCACTAATCAAAGAGTAGGTTAGGTTAAGGTCCTTCAAAATGGCTTCAGTAAGATGCAAATACAATCCTGGCTTTACTGTGTGATCTGGAGATCCTCTTTGGCTTCTGTAGTGTGCCAAAGCCAGCATTCTGTAAACTCCTTGGGGAAAAAACACGGATTTTACTCCTCCCTATTAAATCTTGTATCTGAAGCTGGACAAAAATGAGCAGGTGTGCTGAGACCTATTACTAGATTACCAGCTTTTCATTAATTATCCATCCTGAAGCTGATGGTATCCCTCACGTTGGTTAATTAAAGGGGCTTTATTGAATTGCTCTGCACCTGTGAGTCCCCTGGATCAAACTTTATATTATTCCTAAGCAGGTGTTCAGAAGGTGTTGGTTGGAATTGTGGGATGTGTTTTCTGTATTAATTACTTGATAGAGGTAGTCAAGGAAAAGTGATGAGAAACTGGGGAAAGAACTGTTGTATATGTTGCTCTTGATTTTCTTGTTATGCATTTGCTAAGCACCTATTTAGTAGAATAGAAAAACAGCCTTCAGAAAGACTGAGGAGATTGTCTGAGCTGGTACAGTGCAAGCAGTGCCATTGGGGTAGTGCTTTATCAGATGTTGTGGCATGCTCAAGGACTACAGCAGGAGCAGCTTAATATGATTATAAAATTACATGGCTGATCCAAGGAATTCCTATTTTTATTTTATTGTTAAGGCAGTCTAATTCTTCTGCAGGTGAATGTATTCTTTTCACTGACCCTGATCTGAAGGTGCTCAGTTTGCATCAACTTTCCCTGCCTACACTGATCTTCTGTGGCAATGCAGTTTTCTTTTCAGACTCGTTTCATTAATTGCATCTCTTTTGGCAGGAGCATCTTATATTTTGGTGGATACTGGTGCTGTCTTTACTGTTGCAATTGAAAATATATTCAGAAAGAGTGTATAATTGAGGCCAGGAAGAATTTGTAACATATCCATTCTTTTCTGGAGCAGCCTCATTGCAGGACTATCCCCAAAGATACATGAGAAAATACTGGGTAGTTGTGCCATGCCTCCTAAGTCAGTGGGTCAAAGAAGGCTGTGTCTTATTGTCACCTTTTCATTCCAGTGTCACCTTGCCTGTGGTGACAATCTGAGGATTTAGCAGAGTCCTTTGTTGCTGTGAGTTTGGCTGCCATGGCCAGTAGCATATATTCTACTGCAAGGAAGGAAGGAGTGATGTACCCTGAGCATCGCTGCCATGGTGCCTCAGGGACTCGTGAGGCCACTGTGTGTAAGGGGCAAGCACTTCACCTCTGTATCAACACACAGCTGTTCTATATGTAGTTAAATATCACCTCCATTCTTGGAATTAGCTGGATGTTTCTGTGAATATGTCATCCTTACTGCTGATCCTGGAATAATTTCTCCTCACCAAATCAATCTCATTTACAGATACGAGATGATAATGAGGCAAATCTGGATGTTTTAAAAATAATGCCTCGACTTTTGGAAGTTTGCAGCAGAGGAATGTTCTGAGCTAAAGTGCCATCACATTGACATCACTACTCTTCTGCCAATCATTGCTGATTAATGATACATGGAGGTTTCTTTTGGTTTGGATTTCTTATTTGTTTTATATTATTTCTTAAGAATTGGAGCTTTTGATGTGGGAGGAATCTGTTTTGTTGCCTAGCAAAAGGAAAAAAATCCCTTTTTTTGACAGTTGTTTTCCTGTAGTCAGTCAAGCAAAAGCTTTCATTTGCAACTGAGATCTGTATAGATGTTGACTTCTGCAAAAAAATATGTTCAGCATTGTTAGTTTTGGATTCCAGTTACACATCACTCTTCTTAGATATCTGTAAGTTTATCTTCCATCTCTGGTCTACAACAGATGCTCGAAAATATTCAGTCTTTCATAGCTGTAGGCATCAGCTTTATCCTCCTAACCTCCATGGATGCCTGTGTTGCTGCTGCTGTGATAACCCATCTGGAACTGTTTCCTAGATGCTCCTTGAGACAGATTTCTGTATTTTCCAACTACGGCTTTTTTGTTTGGGGAGCCTGTCTGAGGGAAAGGACTGATTTAGACTCTCTAGCACTCAGGGCTCCAGGTAGCTGAGAATCTGAAAGTCACAAAGCACTTTTCTCCTCCCTAATAAAGGCTCTAACCCACCTGAACTAGGACTTTCTGGAGAATGAACTCCCATGGGAAGTAGGAACATTCTAGGATGTCTTGTTGCATCCTGGGCAGTCCTACCTGGAGCTGATGGGCTGTGTGCAGCTGTACTACACAGCTCCACTTAGCAGAGTTAGCACAGCGGGTTTGCAAACACAGCTTGAACAACCTGATCTTTCCAGCAGTTACTCTG